AAAAAGAGGTTAGAGTGGGAGAGAGCCAAAGCATAAGAGACTGTTGAGAACTGAGAGCAAACTGAGGGTTGAGGGGGGTGGGAGGGAGGAGAGGGTGGGTGATGGGTATTGAGGAGGGCACCTTTTGGGATGAGCACTGGGTGTTGTATGGAAACCAATTTGACAATAAATTTCATATATAAATAAAAAAATAAATAAATAAAATAAAATTGTGTGTACAGATGCTAGCTGTAGAGAGTTTAATGAAACATGTCCTACCTTTCACCCTCATTTGAGAGCCACTGCATCCTCTCCAACAAAACTCCCATTGCTTCCCTACATACGGCATCTATAAGAATTACAGATAAATATCTTCTGATTTCTGCAGAAAAATCTTGACTTACGATAGAGCTGTTTTAGGGTAGGTGAGGGGATAGCAAGGCATGAGTGAAGGGAGATGGCGAAGTTTGAAGAAGTAACATGTTACCCAATCACTAAGTATCCATAACGGTTGGTACTGGTGATGGTGCTGGTACCGGCTGTGTGTGTGTGATGTAGGGTTTGAGAATACGATGTGTGTCGGTGCGAGTATTTATATGCATGTCTGTGTACATGAATGAGAACACGTATACGAAAATAAATAAGACACAATCCTCACTTTCAGAGTTCCAATTAAGTGGCAGAAACATGAACATATCCACCATATGCCTCGCAGATAACAGTGTGTGTAAACTGTGCACTCTCTTTTCCATGTCTGTCCGATCACAGGTGAGTTGCTCACTGTGCACTTTGCTCTAAAGCCCAGGGTATCATGCGGTCAAGTGGGGAATCCTTGGTGCAGGAGAGACTAGACCAGTATTTGTCCCCTTCATCCATCTGCTTCCATTAAAACAATTCCACTGGGGCACGTAGGTAGTTCAGTCGATTGAGCCTCCTACTTCAGCTCACGTCATGATCTCATGGTTTGTGAATTTGAGCCCTGCATCAGGCTGTCTGCTGTCAGCACAGAGTCCGCTTTGGATCTTCTGTCTCCCTCTCAATGCCCCTCCCCATCTCTCTCAAACATAAACATTAAAAAAAAAAAAAAAAAAA